GGGCGCTCGCCCCGCCGGCTTCGGGGCCCCGCCGCCGGCTCCCCGGGGAAGGGAGGAGGGCGGGTGGGCGAGGGAGAGGAAGGGGCGGGCGGCGCGAGCCCTGTGCCCGCTCCCTCCGGCCGCTCCAGGCCCCGGGCTCGCCTCCCTTCCCCTCTGGCCTCGGAAGCTGCCCCGCCCCCGGCCTGGCTGGCTCGGGTCGGCGGCACCCCTAGACCCCCGGCTGGCTGCGACCGCAGGGGGCCTAGAGGTGCATGGCCCAGCCCCGGCTCCCGGCGCCGGGGGTCAGGAAACTGAGCGGAAAGTGGGGAACGAGGCAGCCATTTGCAACCGGAGAGGAAAGTAGTGCAGCGCGGCGCCGCTCCGCCTCCCCCCTCCGCCTCCTGCTCGGCCGGTAGGGTGGTTCCTGGGAAAGGGCTGTTTTGGGGCCTGGGGCCTGGGCAGCGGTCGTAGAGATTCGTGAAGCCTCCGGCGCGAGACCTGGGGGGTGCCCTTGGCTCGGGGAGCCCCACTCGAGCAGGGGAGAAAGGAGAAGATGTGGCCCTATTTTGTGTTGGAGCGGGGCGGCGGAGGGATACGGCCCTCTCGGAGGGAAGGCTGTGACTCTGCAGTTCTACGCACACGGAGCGGGATCCCTCCGCCTCGGGTTAACCCCGGCTGCGCCGGGCCGGCGGCCGGGCAAACACGTGGGGACGAAGCCCCCCGCCTCGGTGCCGCGGCCCGGGACCTGCCGCCCTCCCGCCGGGGCGGCGCAGCCCGCGCTCTGGCCGCTCTCGGGGTCGGTTCCCTGGTAGGCGTTGGCCCCTGAAACTCCCGCTGCCGCCTTGCCTCGGCCAGGGGCAGTCTTTCCCGGTAGGGGGATGGAAGAAGAGGTAGGAGTTTGGCCGCTGCTCTGCATCCTGGGAACTGGAGTCCGCAGACGGAGAAAGTGAGGCACGGCGCCTGGCGCCGCGGAGGGTACGTTCGTGCCACGTTGGGGGGCCCGAAGAAGACTAAACAAGTCCGGGTCTTGAGGCGGTCGGAGCCCCTCGTGAGGAAGGTCTGTCGGTGCCCTCACAGTCCCCAACGTACACCACCTCCCCTTCGAAACAAATGTAGAACCCGCGGAGCCCTTGTAGGGTGTCCCTACCCCCATCGCTCGTCTTTCCAAATCTCCAAGACCAACTCCCTCTTTTTTTCAGTAAACTGAGGTTTGTTACTACCTGGCCAAAATACTGTTACTTGGGACAAGACTGGAGAACACATTCCTGGCAGGCACCCTCATCCAAGTCTGGACGAGAGGAACAGATTGGAATGCATTTTCTGGGCTGGGGATATAGCTCAGTGGCACAGCGCCTGCCTGGAATACATTTTCTGCTTGAGCTATGTGTACACTTGCGGTTCGGCAGGAGACAGTTTATGTGCTAGATACTTTATATCTTAGTTGTTCCTAAAAGTTACATGGAATTACTTCTATATTACAGCTTAAAAGATTAAGGCTTCCACGATCAAGGATGTTGAGACAAGAGGATCGCTGTGAGTTGGAGACCAGCCTGGGGCTGCAAACGTGAGCTTAGGGCCAGCCCAAACTACATAGTGAGACCCTGTCTAAAATAAAGGCTAAGGGCTGGGGAGATGGCTCCGTGGAATAAGTGCTTCCCTGGCAAGTGCAAGGGCCCGAGTTCAATCCACGGTTCCGCCAAAAAAAAAGTAAAGGCTAAAACAGATAAAATTGCTGAAGGAATCATACTGTGAGAACTTGAACCATGATTTAAAACAAAAGCTATAAAAAAAAAAAAAAAAAGGGCTGGTGAGATGGCTCAGTGGTCTAAAGCACCTATTTGGAACAAGCTTGGCAAAGCACAGGGACCACGGTTCAATCTCCCAGCACCACATGCCAGCCAGCCCC